ACTGAGGATTGTGATTTCTTTCAATATTCCTAAGAATTTTTCTCCATTGATCTTTATCTTCAGCTGCACTGAAAGCTTCGCAGAATGAGTTTTGGATCATCTAGTTGGTGATCTGGACATCTTCTCTTCATAGACTTTGAAAGCGCATATGACAATATAAACCGAGAATTCTTAATAAAAGCAATGAAAGAATGTAATATACCAACACAACTAATAGAACTGGTAAAAGAATCTCTAAAAGTAGAAAGTAAAGTCCGGATACAAAATGAATTAACGGAAACAATAGATGTGAAAAGGGACTACGCCAGGGAGACGCTCTATCATGCATCTTGTTCAACATCGTACTCGAGAAAATACTGAGGGACACAACAGTCAATACTCGAGGAACAATCAATAATAAAAGCGTGCAAATACTAGCATTTGCAGATGATGTTGACATAATCGCAAGATCAAGAAGAGAAATAATAGAGGCCAAATAGAACGAGCTGCATAAAATAGCGATACCTAAAAAACAGGGGGCTAAAAAGTGCGAAGAATATCGAACAATCAGCCTAATGAGCCATATGTTGAAACTGTTTCTTAGAGTCATCCATGGAAAAATTTATAAGAAGTGCGAGGAACAAATATCGGACAGACAGTTCGGCTTCATTAACGCAGTGGGTACCAGAAAGGCACTTTTCGGAGTACAGGTACTGATTCAAAGATGCAGGGACGTTAACTGCGACGTATACGCGTGCTTGATCGACTATGAAAAGGCATTTGACAGAGTTCAACATCAAAAGATGATAAACATTTTAAAAGAGGCAGACCTGGATGACAAAGATCTCAGAATAATTTCAGAACTCTACTGGAATCAGACCGCATACATGAAAATTAACGGAGAAGAAACAGATCACATAAAAATACTACGTGGAGTTAGACAGGGATGTATCCTATCGCCGTTGATATTTAAAATGTACTCAGAGAAAAATTTTAACGAGGCTCTTTACGGAATTGACGAAGGCATCCTTCTAAATGGTGAAAGAGTAAACAATGTTAGATATGCCGACGACACCATGGTGATAGCGGATAGTTTAGAGGGACTTCAGAGGCTAATGGACAGAATAAACGAGTACAGTCAACAGTACGGACTAAACATTAATACCCACAAAACGAAACAAATGATTATCAGCAAGGAGAATATAAACGGGGCTCATCTATACATTAATGGGACGCAGATAGAGCGAGTAAAACAGTATTGTTACCTGGGAACTATTATTAACGAACAGTGGAGCAATTTACAGGAAATAAAGTGCCGCATAGGAAAGGCAAGAACGGTCTTTAACAAAATGAGTACCATCTTCAAAAGTCACAACATATCCCTTGATACAAAAATGAGACATTTGAGATGCTATGTTTTCTCTGTGTACGGGGCGGAGGCATGGACGCTTACAGACACCACTATTAAAAAACTTGAAGCATTTGAGATGTGGCTTTATAGAAGAATGCTGAAAATATCATGGACAGAAAGGAGTACGAACAAGGAAGTTCTAGGAAAAATGAAGAAGGAACCAGATATTGTGTTTACGATCAAACGCATAAAATTGCAATATATGAGACACGTTATAAGAAATCAGCACCGTTACTCCCTGCTACAGTCTATATTGCAAGGAAAAGTCAAAGGTAAGCGAGGACCCGGTAGAAGGAGAATATCATGGCTGCGGAATTTAAGAACATGGTTTAAGACAACCTCAACGGAGCTGTTTCGAGCCGCAGCGAGCAAGGTTATGATTGCCAATATGGTTTCCAACATCCGAAACGGATAGGAACCAGAAGAAGAAGAAGCATAAAATAGTGGTCTTAAAATCAATCAGACCAAAACAAAATATATACAGGTAAGTAAAAACGCAGAAATAAGGCAGCCACAAAATATAACAATATGAGAATACAACATTGAGGTGGTAAAAAACTTAATACACTTGGGATCCCTATTCACTTCTGATAATAACGTTGCGGAGGAAATGAAGAGGCGAATATTTATTGCCAATAAATGTTACCATGGCTTAATTAGGCAACTAAGCTCAGATAACGCCAGCAAATCTTAAATTGGAGATTTTCTTACCAGCCACTGTTACTCCATCGGCCCATTCATCTAAAGCCATCCTGATGACATGTTCACCATAAATGTTGAATAAGTCAAGTGACAACACACATCCTTGTCTAACACCTCCCTCGGTCTTTAATTCGTTTGAGAACTTCTGATCTAGTCGTACTGTTGCTATATTGGACTGGTAAAGATTTTTAATAAGTGTCACCAGGTGCATTGGTATGCCCATTTCTATTAAAATGGTAGTCACATCTGGTAGTAATTCCTTTTTTGTGTAGCGGGATATAAATTGAGATCCACCAATCAGATGGGCATTGTCCTGAATTCCAAAGAGCGACACAGATATAATGGATGATATGTAATCTTTTGTTACCTAGTAACTGCGCAGTATTTAACCTGGTATTGAATCAGAGCCTGGGAATTTATTTCTCTTTAGCGATTTAATTACATCTTTGACTTCAGCGAATAAGACAGTAGGTTCTCTAGGGTAGAAAGAGGATCATTGTTTTTCTGCATGTACCTCGTTATTTTTATATAGCTCGCCACAGTAGTTTCACCATGTTTTCAATATTTCCTCAGTATCGGCGTTTAGATTACCTTCCTTATCTATTACAGACCACGTTTGAGATTTAAATTCTTTAGTAAGAGGTTTGATCTTCTGAAATAAATCCCTCGGTTCATTTCGACGGCCATGTTTCTCTATCTTTCTGCATATTTGATAGGTGTAATCAGATTTACCTTTGTGACACTGTTTTCTAATTTGTTTCGATAAAGCTCTGTATTCATCGCTTGTTCCGTATCTCTCGTTTTAAAAACTCTTTTAGAAACATTTTCTATGGGATTAAGATCGGTAGAATTTCCTGACCAGTTCAAGAGAGATTTTTTCAATGACTTAGCAGTATGATAGGAATTTATTTCATCAGGAAATCATTCATACACTTAAATTATCAGTATTTTCTTCAATGTTGATATGTATTGATCTTGTCACATCTCCCTCTTTCTTCTTCTTCTTCTTAGCCTTCTCTCGTCCATGTTTGGAGATAGGCCTCTCCCAACTCCTTCCATCGGTCTCTATCCTGAGCAACATATTTCCAATTTGTTCCGGCTATTATTTTATTGTCATTAACCCATCCTTATCCATGGTCTTCTTCTTGGTCGTTTACTTTTGTAAGGTCTTCAATGTTGTATTGTAGTATTCCAACTTGGTCTTTTTGTCTAGCAGTGTGTAACAATTTTTTTTGTTATGTCCTCGACTTTTGTTTTGATCTTACCCAGTCTTTCCTCTTTTTATCTGACAGTCGTATACCTAACATTGCTCTTTCCATTGTTCTTTATGTTGTGGCTAGCTTATTCATATAGCCTTGGTTAGGGTCCAGGTTTGACATCCATGTGTCACGATAGGTTGTACACTTTGCTCCTCAAGTATTGGGGTATGTTGCGGTTCTTAAGTATCCAACTAAGTTTTTCAAATCCTGCCAGTTTTCCACCCCCTTAAGAATTTGAATTCTACCAAGTTCCTTACCGCTAATGGTAGACCAACTATTATTGTTGTTGGATGTTTTACAGTTTTTTACAGATTAAGGTAAATATTATTCTTCAGGGTTTTCTTTAAAATACTGAGCTTTATTAGTTAGGGGGCAAATAGTATCTTCTCTGAGGCAAACTTGTTATAAAAAATTATGAAGAAAACACACTTTAGCTGTGTTAGGAAAATTTCAACTCTTATGGTTGATCTTATGAAAATTTTAAATACAAGTGACTTCAGTTTGTATAAATCCTGACGTAACATGATTTTGGTATGAAAAAATACTATATAAGTGCGAAAATTCCTTGTTTATGTTTAGGTATTGTCCTATAAATGGTTGCAGGAAATAATTTGTCTTGATACTATAGGCCATCACAACATAAATTATCTGATTTTTGACATATGTAAAAATTAATCAAAAAAGCAAAGTTTCTTTATCATCTGAGATAATTAAATCCTGCGGGAATTGTTGCGAATTTTACATTAAAGAATTTTTTTCTAAAAAAATTCGCGACGTACGTTATAAGCAAGGAAAAATAAAATATTTATATACATCTACACTTGCTTGATAAAACATACTCATGCTTTAAAAAAAGGTTGATTCAGACTAACAACAGTCACGTCAGAGTCAGAGACGATACAGGGAAAATTGCTTCTGAGGTTTTCCACTGAGGCAATTCCCCACGCAAGTCCATGGTACAGTCACTGTACTGTCAAAATCAATGCCTGTCCGAACGCTACGACAGCTATCAAGACTGACTTGATCTTGACTGGATCTGACTGGCGGGTTAGTGTGAATAGGACACAGTCAGTCAGTCACCTGTTTTCAGTTGTTGTATCAAACTTTCATCGCTTTTGTTAACAATGGACGACGAAAAATTAATTGAGTGCTTTCATGAAGAAAGATTATTGTAAAATTAAAAACATGATGAAAGGAAAGATTAATATGAATTGTTGAGTGGTATTCTCAACTTTCCAAAGTACTTATTTAAAAACATATATTGAAACCAATATGGATCTATGGCCTACAATTATGGAGTTGTTCCAAAAAACAAGCAATTATAGAAAATTGGAAACGCTCCAGAACCGAATAGTAAGGATTATTGAAAGTGCTTCTTTGTATGTTCAGAATGACGATTGAAGTAGAGACCTTAAAGTCGAATCTATTCTAAATGAAATTAGGAAAGTCACCAGGAGATATGAAAAGAGGCTCCATAAGAATCCCAACCATGAAGTACTTGGTTTGACTTGACTGTGATCTAATCTTCCCGTGATTGTTGGTCTGAATCAACCTTAACCAATCAAAATTTTGTCGAATAGTTTTATCTCTAAATAATATTTTGAACATTGTATTTTACTTTATGTTTCTATGGATTATTTAAATTACAGCTTCAAAGCCTTTAATAAAACGACCAAGAGGAAGACCAAGGCTACATCCAAATGGTAAGTAAGCTTGGAGGTGGTTGTAGCTATTTTGTTGTGGTTTTTTATTTGCACTTTTATCTTGGGATTTATGGAACATTGGCTTACATTCACTGTTGCTATAGAAATATATGTAGAAGTATGTATTGTTAGATTAGAATGTTAATTTCTGCCTTTTTGCTTCCTAATCTTTTGTTTCTTTTAGTCCTAGTCTTTTTTTGTTGTCTCTCTATGATTTAAATTTGATTTTTTTTTTGAAATTTAAGTTAAGCGTCATTTTTCTAATGTCATGTCGGACCAAAACGGCTTTTTTTAGTTTAACTTCTAAAAGTCGTGAAAACTGATGACAGATCTACTTGAAGCATGGTCAAATGAGGCGTTGAAAGGAAAAGTGTAAGTCACCTGAGCATCATTTTGAGATACAAAAGGTTTTATTAGAAACATTGTAATTAAATGTACGTATTTTGCTTGTGGTATTTTGTATTTATTAAGAATATATATGTAAATTTACTAACATGTGGGTACAAATAAAACTATACTTTGACGGTATACAAGGCAACTATCGAACACAGTAGTTAATTTAATCTTGCCCAAGTAGAGTCTAGAGTCTTCACTAGAGTCTCTGAACATTTGAAAAGACCAAATTCTTCAAGTTTTGGTCAACACTTAGTATCCAGCAACCACAATTTTAACATCAATTCTGGTTCATCTATCTTACATGACATTAGTAGAAAGAAAAACTATCTTCAGTTGGATTTATTGGAAGATTTGGAGATTACAAGGGAAACAAATGAAAACTCTCACTGTCTTAATACTCAAATTAATTTAAATTGTACTAAATTTAATCCTATATTTAAAAACTTTATTACAGCTTCACCTCGTAGAGGACCCAGCTCGACTGTTTAGACTTCATGCACTGAGCATTTCAATATTAATTTTAAAGTTCTTCCATTGACTGTGGATTCAACTGAACTACTTGGATTATAACCCATTTATATATTTTGCTTTCAATTTTGATTTTAACTTTTAGTAATTTAACTGCATATTCAGATTTTTCCTTTTTACAGTACTGATAGCGCTTGGTGGACCATTTTATTGTAGTCAACCATCCACTGTCTAATATATTGTTTAGTCTTTTCTTACATTCATACTTTATGTCAACTTCAATTGCTCTCAAACTAACATCCTAATTATTATAGACAGGTTTGAGTGTGAGATTTGGATTATTCAATCCACATAAAAAATATACTATATAATTTTATATTTCATCAGTTGATTTCCTATAGTGGTGTCAGTTGGACTTTTGGTCAATACTTAGTTTCATAGAATTTTGAAAGGTGCAGATCACATAACTGCCCTTTACAAGCTGTCATTTGTCACATGTCATCTCAATATTTCCGCCAAACCTGGAGCCCATTCTGTCTCCGGCTTCTATATAACATGTAGCTTCTCCTTTTAAAAAATTTTAAAGTGTTTGTTTGTCTTTGTGTATTGTATTGTTATGTCCAAATTTACATGTATGACATTCTATTCCTGTCGGATAGGACACAACTGACGAAGTAAGTCTATAAACGTTTATCACATAAACATTTTTTTCAACCATAAACTTGGAGTTTTTTATCCAAGTGAATTAATTTTCCTTTTTTATAAAAAACGTTTCTTGGCTTATTTCAGATGCCCCTGAAGATGATCTATTGATCGAAAGTACTTGAGCAAGATTAAATTAACTACTGTGTTCGATAGTTGCCTTGTATACCGTCAAAGTTTAATTATTCGAACATTCAACCTTATATTGAAATAAAACTATGTTAAGGGTAGTTTTTATAGGGTGAAATAACTTACACCACTTTTCCTTTAAGAGTTTAAAGAGAATGTACAGACAGCAAAACATGTTTATTGTTTTTATAATAGAAAATCAAAATTAAATTCACTAGTTTATTAGTTATTATTTTTCTTCTACATCAGAAAGTGGTCCAGCTTCGTCATTGACTTCATCAGATGATATAAGATTCTAAAATAACAATGGTGGACTGGAGGAATGTACGGTAGTAAATCATATATATCTCGTTTTTTTGGCTGGCATGACTGGTCGAGATGCTGTGTACAGGCAATCCAGTTGAAGATTTTTCAACAGTGTTGATCTTCTCTTCTGCTTGCTTCGAAGTAATAGAAGTAAAAATCTTCATTTAGTGTTTCTTTATAGAACAGTGAAAATGGCTCATCTTTTTTGACTCTAATCCACTGCATTTTTAACCATGACACTGATTGGTCATTCGTATTAGTTTTTCTTTTTGTAATTGATTTAGTGAGTTGTGTCACATCTTTAAAGTCTTCTCTAAGCGTTTTTGTGAAAATAAAAGCTTTTTTCTTTCTACACCGAACTGACTGAAAACCAATCTTCAGGCATATAAATCTGTTTGCGTTTAGAGTGAGTTTCAATTGAAGCAAAGTGAATCATTCGATAAGTAAGAGTGTCCACTTACCATAAACTTGTGATCAACTATTTCGATACTATTATTTTCACTTTAAACTAACTAATTTTTATATTTTGGCCGCTGCAGCTGTCCCTGTACAATACAACATATTGTGAATTTGCTGTACGTAATTCTATGTGCTTTGTGACAAAGGCACTGATTTCCTGAGATATCTGAAAGGTTTCAAGAAAGTATTTTTTACATACTTTCATAGTTTTGCCTTGTTTATGAATGAAATATTGGTTAGACACTGTTCTACCAGGTCGTGACTGATCCCTAGGACGTTTTACTTCAGGTTTCTTTTGCTTTTTCACACCACAAATAAAACCATTCTGTGCTGTAAATGATTGCAATTTCCAGAATGATTCAAATGTTTTTTTTTCTATCTTCACATGATATCTTTTCAAAAAATTGTTTTATTGCAAAACAGCTGTTGTTAGAAAAAGTTTTACCTGGCACTACTTTTCCTTTTGGTGTCTTATACTCACAATCTGAATTGCGAAGCCACTTTCTTTTTTATTTTCATGCCCCTGTCGTTTTCGTGCTCTTTTGGCTTGCTGAACTTCTACTTCCTCTCTATTACTTTTCCTTTTATGGCCTTGGGGAAAGAATTTATCTATTGTTAGTGTAGAGAATATAACATTTTGAAATTAGTTTTTGATTTTATACACACAAATATAATACACAAGTTTATCTCTGAGTACACTCATCTCCTGAGTAAGCGAAAATAGTAGGCTCATCACTCACATTACTTAAACTTAAAGGAATAGTGGTGTAAGTCTGACTTGCACCAATATTCCCCTTACTGTTAAAGACTGTCAAGTTTGTGCTGCTATCTGTGAGAAAATAGGGGAGGTATAACTTACACCATGCACTTATCTCTATTGTATAAAGAAAGTGACTTACACCACTTTTCCTTTCACCGCCTCATATAGAGGGGGAAAGAACACGTTTTTTAGATATACAAAGTTTTTGCGTAGAATGTTCCTTCTCAGCAGATTTTAAAGACTCCCTCACAGTTCAGTTCAGTTCTGTCCGCACTAATGCAGAAAGAAAAGAAAAAATAGGGAGAAAGAAGAAATCGTGGGTCAGGAATATAAGAGACTGGGTCAGAATTAAAGGGAACGCTTGGGTGACCAAGCCCATAATAACAAGTCAAGAGGAGAAAGAAATAATGCTTTGATCATATGTTCATATGTCTTGTCATAGTAAGATAGGAGCTTGTTCAGCCTTTTTGTGCCTGTAGGTTTTGCTAGGCATTTTTCTTACAAAACAGATCTTTCTAGTCACCGTTCAAAGATTTTATATATTCGCATTTCCCATTCTATACCATGTTTTTCTTGAAATACATTTCCATCAATAGGTGTTCACCGTTTAGTTTCATTCAGTACAACTAACAAAAGGATACAGCATAACTAACTTATTTTTTAGACAAAAATTGATCAAACTTTATCCAAAGCTCAAATCTTTGGTTTATTAATGATGGTAATATGGAATATTTAAATGAATAGAGAGATGAGTACTGTTTATTTGAATTTTATTTAACAAACATTACAAAGGTAATAACACATATGGCTTTATTAAAAATACTAACACTGAGTAAAATTTATACAATATTACTCACATCAAACGGTTTGCTGTATTTTTTGTAGTCCATTGAAATGTTACATTTTTTAAGCCTTAGCGTGTATTTTTTATATGACGCAACTTTATTTTTTTGATGTACAGGTGGCAAGTCTAAGCTTGAGTTCAAGTTTTGCGTGTTGACATCTTTTGTTACTCAATGTGCAGTGAAGCCAGTTGTAGAGCATTTCTCGCATCAGCATAACTAACAGTATTGCCTTCTTCATCTTGAACCTCTTCGTCTGCTTGATCTTCGTGTATAACAGCCAGTACGATTTCTTCATCTGTCAAATTGTCATTGGTCAAGTCATCATCAGCTCCAACAATCCATTCTTGACAATTCTGCAGTTGAATATCATTCGAGTCTGAGAGTTTTTGCAAAGCATTCATCAAAGATGCAATATCATCTGGCTCCATTCAATTTTTCCATTCGTCTGCCGCAGTTGGATCAGCTGACAATTTTTCACCGCACACGCTTAAGAATTGAACATCGTCACGTTTTTTCCAGCGTTTTTTCCAACGTGGTTTTTTCCATAACCATAATGCATCGTCTATACGTTCTTTAATTGGTTGCTTTAAAGTACACCTAGTCAAGAGGACTTTATCAGACTCGATTTGAGTGCAATAATCTTGAATGGTTTTCTTGTTTCGGCGTCAGTCTTTTACAGTTGTCACTCCTACACCGAATTCGTCAGTAATCGATTTTACAGAATGACCTTTTTCAAGCCGCTCTATTGCATTTAGCTTGTCTTTCATTGACTCAACACAATTTCGTTTAATTCCACTCATTTAGTAACTATAAACGGCGAAAAGCTTAACCACCTCCGATTCGCAGATGATCTTAACCTTATCACAGATAATTTAGGAGAAGCCACAGATATGTTAAATGAATTGGACTTCGCATGTTCGAAGGTGGGCCACAGAATGACCTTGACCAACTGAATGAACTATTCAAGATAAAGTGGTAGAACTGGTGGAGTAATATACGTATTTGTATCATGAAATAAGAGTCAGCATGGATAACCAAAAATTGCGAAATCTAAAGACGAATTACTTGAGCGTGGGTAGCCTTAAAAGAAAAGTACATGTTTTGATATTAAAAATCAGTCTAACGTTTACAGGTATTTGTTTATTTTGATAAGTTCCGCAGTTTAGTTAATAATCTTTTTGATACATCTGTTTACTTTGGTTTAGGTGCTCACTGGACATCATTAACGATCACTAAAAAGGTTTTATCACTAAAGAGAGAATTTTTATGAATTGTTTATATTAAATTATTAAAAGAGCTGGAAGATTTCTCAAAAATGTCATTGCTACTTAAAAACTAGTTCCGACAGTTTTGTGGAACACTGTATTTTCTAATTTCTTATTATTTTATTTTATGTTCATTTAATGTTATTAAGTATTTTCGACTGTATGACCAATGTATATTTCCAAGTAGATCAATATTGTTGGCATGCTTATACCTTGTGCGTGTTTTATCGTTAATTGCAATGCTTGTGTTCGTTTTTATTCCATTATTTCATACTGCCTTTCGTGTTGTCAGCTACGTTTGATTATTTTTAGAAAACGGGTCTGTATAATAGTACAAATGTTCTTTAAAGGATATCAGTATTGATCATAGTAATGATGACAATCGTTACAAGGAATATCTTTATTAGTACTATTATATTTAAGTGATTAGTATGGCCACTTCCTATTTCCAATTACGTTTGTGATCTTTGTTTGAGATCTTCCTTCTTCTTCTTCTTCTTGTAGTGTCTATCCGTTGCGGATGTTGGCGACCATCATGGCAATCTTTATTTAGCAAACTGCGACTGCAGAAGCTGCAGGAAATTCTTCGCCTTACTGGTCCCCGTTTTCCTTCTTATCTTTTCGGGTTTAATGAACATTTCTTTTATTTTATTCGAATATGCTTCTGTAATTCAATAAGAGGTTCTAAATCTCACAGTCGAAACATTAAAGCAAAATTTATCCTTTCAATTATGTGTTAATAATTCCTAAAAATTCTAGTACCGCAAATTTGTAACTTTCAATCGAATCTTTTTTTTTTAACATAGCAATGTAAAATGTCTAATCGCTAATATTTATCACAGCAAACCATTTGCCTTATGCTTTTAATCTAACACACAGACATATACTTGTGGTGGGCTCAGATTATTTTTCATATTGTGGAATATCCCAATTTTTTATTACTTTTGTAGTTGCTCGTCCCTTAAGCAAAAGACCCAGAGGTGGTTCAAGGATAAATCCCCTCGGTAAGTGAGACCTCAACCTGTATATATTTTATTTTTATTAGAGTTTATTTGTTTTGTTGTATTTAGAAATTATTTTGTTAGATGTACGTGTGAATTGGCCATTTTGTTTAAGTATAATATGCTTTTATATACGAAATTGTTAAAAAATCTATAATTTATGCAAATATTTATGTTTGAAGTATGTTAAATATTTAATTACTATGTTTGCATTATTTGTCTGCTTAAATTATTTTACATGCGTACCAGAGCGGCCCACGCACCAGACTATGTGGTACTAAGCTCTAGCTAACTACAGCTAAGTTACGTTGTTCAATGATCTCCATAATAAAAGATACAATAGTAGGTAGAAATATCATCCCCCATATTATTATTCTTGTACGGTTATACTAATAACTTATAATACATGAATTTTCTTTATTTTCTTAAGGTATTGGAAGACCAGCTTCATATCCACAATTTTTCCCAGACTCATTCGACAGCGTCGGATATATTACAACAAAGTCCCATCATCCCACACTCAGTGACTTTGAATCCAGCCAAGAAATGATTTATAATTCCTCAGAGATAGATAATAATATGGACCAAATAATGATGGAACCATTGGTGGAAATAAAAACTGAACAAATTGGTAAGGATATGTATAATCAATTTTTTGTTTCGAATTATCATAATAGTTAATAAGTTTTGTTCAAAGAAATCAGATATATTAAACTAATTTATTTTTATAGGCTATTAGTGAAAAGTTCAGATATTTTAAATTGTCCTTTTTTGTTTTTCAATATATTTTCTAGTATAAGATATCATTCATTCTACAGTTTATGGTTTTCTTTTGCTTTGATACTCAATTTTTTCGCTATACGATACGAATATGTATCGATCTCATTTTACATAAAATATTCTCATTGCACGTATGTTTTTTCAGCAGTTTGTCGTACTTTTTTTAGTTAAAAATGCTTTAATATTAAGTTGTTATAAGTTTCGTTAAGAAAGACTGTCAGTATTATGTTTCGCTCGCTGGATAACCGGTCTCGTTTCCGTATTTGAGTGCTGTCGTCTTGAGATGCTCTTAGGGATTCTCTTATCTTCACATATGGCATAATATATCTACGCATAGACTGCTGCGTTGCCGAATCGAAAAAAATGCATGAATTAAACTTAAAACAGATAGTGGCGTGAACACTGTCAAAGAGTTTATCTTTTAAAAACTGATTCATTTCAGAACGGTTTACTACGAGATATGATATTTGCTGTTTATTGTTTTGATTATTATTTGACTTAGTTAATTTAAGATTCTTTATATTGAACGTAAACTAGATGTATAATACTAATCATAAAATTTATTTGATTGTTTTAGACCCCGAAATTAAACCTAATAGTGAAGAAGATCCACTACCACCGAGCTCAACATCCAGCAGTTCATTTTTCGAAAATATCGGCCTATATGAAAACACGTCAGCAATAGCGAAAATAGGAGAATGTACAATATCTGTAGCTACGTGCGGAACAGTTGGTCCAGGCCATTCAGGAGCGCCAACGAACAATTGATCCTTTTAGTTTCTAATGTTCATATTTTCAAATGGAGAATTTTTTTTTCATCTTTGGTTATTTTTAGATGTTTCGTAGATTATATATCTATAAGGATAGAGCAGCATTATTATTTTGTTTCTGTAATAGCTTTAGTTTATTTTTAATGGATTACTAAAGTCTTGGCGATATGTAATGACTGAGGTGTGTTTTCAAATTCACTTAGACATGTAACATCTTATAAAATATATATCACTTTTATTTTCTAAAAATCTTTTTTCTTTGAATGATAATTCTATAGTATAATTTCGTTTAGCAGTGGACACGATGAATACAAAGCCTTTTTGCCATTTAATGACTAGAGTGAATGACAAAAAGGTTTGGTATTAACCACTGTTATAGAAGGGAAACATCGTCTTTCCGTCTCACCTTGCAAGTCTATCTGACGAGCTAAAAATGGCGAAATACGTGTAATAACGTTTGTTTCTTCAGTAGTTGGAAATGGTTTTAAAACGCACGATTTTGCGCACTAAAATAATTGTGTGATTTCAAACTCCAACTGTTTGGTCAGATGTTCTTGCAGATTTGTCGACCGTTTTCAAATATGCCTTCTGGTTTGAAGATTATTTTCCAACTAATATTTTGACGCAGGCGTACTAAGTATTAATACCCTATACTTGTAAAAAAAATCAAAACCACTTTTTCAAAAACGTCTGAAGGAGCCCCCACTTGAGAGCACCTTCAGACGGGGAATGGGGCAGCTTCAGACACAATTGGAAAAATTACAACCTCATATAAATGTTTTAGAAATTATTTATTTCAATATTTAAAACTATATTATGATACTTAATCAAACCAATAATGCATATTGAAGTTTTCCATTGAAACTGAAGAAGACAATAATGATTTCTGTCGCTTTCTACCCTGCTCAGAAGGAGTTGGCAAAAGGACTACAATTTCTGATAAAGTACTAGAGATACCTGGTACGATGTGGTAGAAAAATTTATAATTTACTTTAGATGACATTCTCAAAAATGAAATTTCAACATCCCCATCATCACATATCTACTGCTGGATATAGGTCTCCCTCAGTCTTTTCCATGTATTTCTGTTTTGTGCTGTTATAGGTCTCCCTAAGTCTTTCCATGTATTTCTGTTTTGTGCTGTTTGTATCCAATTTTTGTCGATCCGTTTTATGTCATCACGCCATCTTGTTGGTGGACGACCTCTACGTAGATGTGCTTCTTGTCTCGGTCTCCACTGTATTATTCGCAGTGTTCATCTGTTATCCGACATTCTAGCTATGTGCCCCGCCCAGTTCCACTTAAGGGTCATAATTCTTTCTATCGCATCTGTCACTCCTGTTCTCCGTCTTATTTCCTTGTTCGTGATCCGATCCCTACGAGAAATGCCTATCATCGATCGTTCCATGGCTCTTTGGGTAACACAAATTTTATGTCTTACTTTCTTGGTTAGTGTTAATGTCTCTGCACCATATGTAAGTACTGGCAACACGCACTGATTATAGGCTTTTCTTTTAAGACTCATAGGCAGTTCTGATTTAAGAACATAGCTCAGCTTGCCGAATGCCACCCAAGTGAGTCCTATGCGGCGGCTTATTTCGCACGTCTGATTATCTCTTCCTATGCGTATCTCATGTCCTAAGTACTTATAAGAGGTGGTTTCTTCAATATGCATGCCATTTACTGAAATCTTTTCGCTTAACACAAGATTTGTCATGATTTGTGTTTCTGTGTGCTTGATTTTTAATCCAACTTGTAGGGAGGCTAGGTATAGTTTCTCCAGTTGCGATACTGTATCATCGATTCTGTCAGCAAAAAGGACAATATCGTCATCAAACCTCAAATGACTAAGCATTTCTCCATTGAGATTAATTTCTTTTTCACTCAGATTTGCGTTCTTAAACATATACTCTAATAATGTTGTAAATAATTTTGGCGAAATTTTGTCTCCCTGTCGCACTCCCCGTTTTATTTTAAATACGTTGGTCTTTTTATCTGCCAGTTTCACGCTTGCTGTCCCATTTTGATAGATGTATTTTATCATGTTTATATAGCGATGATCTATACGGCACTCTGTTAAGGCTTTTAACATCTTTTGATGACTTACTGTGTCGAAAGATTTTTCGTAGTCAACAAATATCATGACTAATGGCTTGTTATATTCAACACTCTTTTCTATTAAGTTCTTAATTACTTGTAAATGATCATTCGTGCCATATCCTGCTCTAAAACCTGCTTGCTCTCTTGGCTGATAGAAATCCAACTTACTCAAGCAAACTTAACCAGCAAAAAATTTTCAGTTTTCAATTCACTCCTGTCAACATTTTGCTGTGATTCTTCTAATACTTTATCATCAGAGTTTTTGCCATTTTCATCATCAGTTATCTTCCTATTCTTCTCATTTTCAAAAAGTGTTTTCTTTTCGTAGATTTAGTACGTTCAGCATCAGAGTTGGTGGTTTTTTTTTTTTGTTTTTTTATTGATCTGTTTTTCTGCTTGAAAAGCTTTTCTAGGTATTCAGTTATTATTCTGCTTTTCCCCTTTTCTCTTGGTTTCTTAAGAGGGCATAGGCGTAGAGTTTTGGCAGCTTAATATTGATGGAGTGTCTATTGATTGCTGAAAGTTTTCACTTGAAATTTGGGGAGATGAGGGTGGTTTTTCAGATTCTAAAGTTAGTAGACTTGCAGCTAGTTGGCATGTTAGAGGTTCATCAGGAAGAGCAGGTCAGAGGATTTCCTAATGGCGACTCCAGAGTCGATAAACTATATATATAAGTTAGATGTTCGTTTGTAAACATATGTATTGTTTTATACAAAACATATGTAAATCTAATTACTATTAAACTGGGAATAAGCCACAATTAAAGATAAAAATACGTTTATTGACGTTTCAATTTCCACTTCGGAAATCGTTCTCAAAATACAAACAGTAAATTAAACAAATTTTGTTTTTTTGTTACATAGTGAAAAATTCTTCTAATAATTTAATTTTATCTGACTCATTTATATTGACAATTCAGACATACATTATGCATTTTAAAGTAGACGACTTTAAAATGATATTGCCAATATTGTTGAGTTGCGCTCCTGGGACGACTTTACTTATAAGATAGTTCATTCGATTACATGAAATCAACTTTAACTTGAGAATATCCGTTAGAAAAAAATCATAGCATGTAATTCGTCTTTAAAAAGACAAACACATGACATGATGACAGTAAAATTCTCCTGCTAGTGATTCCATAGTAAATTATGAGGGAAAAAAACCTCATAATACTATCCCGACATTGTAAGTATTTGTTCGTGAATTTAGTTTACCTTCAACAAACATCAAAATTCTGATTTTATTTGTTACGTTATTTAAAAAACATAAATGATGTATCCTCTATATGTTACTGACTTACTAATACTGGTATTTTCTTATTAATAACTTCCTCTTTCAATATTGGTAACCAGATCCTACTACATTCTGCCGAGGAATTTGCGACACAATTCAAATACACAAAAATATATGTAAATGTGTCAAGCGCCATACGATAAATAAAAAATATGGAAGAGTTTCGTCTGGAGGATTAGGTCTCTCACTGATCAAACTGGGAGCAAACATATCGTCGGTGAAAATGTGCTTGTCAATTGGAAATATTCCTTTTTTTTTAAGAATTTATAATGCTCTGTGGTAACATGATAGGGTCATGTGCTATTTCAACACATGCGGCCACGTAATAGATTCCAAAACGTTGGCCTGGGTTAGACTTCAACTATGAATCAATTGGAGCATTATATGTTTTAAAAGGTTTCATCAATCCCACATCCAGTTGTTGCATCATGTGGGTACAATGGGGTGGAACTGTTAGAATAGGCACGCCATTAGCTCTTGCTAGTTCTATTGCCTCAATTGACAAGTGGCTCTTATGACTGTCGCAAATTAGAAGCATTCTTCTCTTTTCAGAGGAACTTAAACATTTTATAAAGTGCTACATCACATGAACGAAATTGGAAATGGTCATCCAACCTGACTGATGAGCCACACCCAAGGTTCCGTTTGGTGCTCCATTCATCATGGGGCTCTTGAAGTGCACTCTCGGAACTACTAGAGCAGGAGGTATTAGGTATATTTCAGCTGCATTTATAAAAATTTAGTATACAATTAAAATTTTAATAGAATTTCAATAAATCGACGCACAATTCAAAAATATATCTTTGGAATAAATATAAATAACTTTTAATAATTTAAATAATATAAAACATCACTCTCATTTAACAATCACATAATTCCTATTTCATTGATTAACATCTCTCCCCTCAAGATCCTTCCCCGTTAATTATCAAACAGTTAAAATAAAAACCGAAGATCACCCATCATCAACAATACAAGATAGTTTGAACTATGTCTTCCGAATCATTAACTAAAAATTCTAGTACCGGCATCATTTGTTTACATATTAGTATACTAACCTAAGAAACATTATTCTAAAAGATTTTTTATCAACATTGCTACTGTTACCGTAACTACGTTGAGAACAAGTAACTATTTATTATGCACTATCACAATATAATAAATATTACATTTACTCATCGAGCAAAAAGACAAAAGAGGGAATGTAAAGGTAGTGGGGGCAAAAATATTGTTAGACAGGAAGTGCGATCTTTAGAGGCCACATTAAACAAGGAAAGAGAGTCTCTCATCTCCTTTGACATCAAATTTAGTTGGGTTATGTTATTGTATGTCCCAATTGTCACATGAAATCTTATTTATATTGAAGTTTTTTAACAATTGTGCCGCATTTTAGACTATTACCGTTAATAATTAATTAAAACTTTCTCGTCTAAGACACATTCTGAAAAATATTATATAGCTACTGTTAATAAGTGTCGGAAAATTTAAATTTGGCGCATTCGCATTTCCGGATATGTCCGCCATCAGAGGCCACTTTTTTGGTCTCCTTTTCATAACGATTAGATTCCCTCTTTTGTCTTTTTGCTCGATGCATTTACTATAAACACATAATAATAATCAGAATGCCCACTCTCAGATGGCGCCTTTGAAGTTTGTCAGCACGCGAACGCCATGTTTTAGACGGAAACATAGACTCGAATTGAGACATTTGTGACAACCTACGACAGAACTGTAATTTAAATTTTTAAAGATTAATAATTTGTACATTTGAAATAATTTAATCTATTCTTCAACTAAAAGTACGAATAAAATAGTGCATATTATGTCTGTAGCTGCCGTAAATAAATTAAACCGGGTTAATTTGACTCTGCACGTCAGATAAAATGTCACTGAACAGCACTGGTTCCGTTTAAGACATGGATGATTCCGTCTGCGCGAACGAGATGCGCGTACTTTTTTTTTAAAGCAGAGTGGGCATTCTGATTGTTTAGTATTCTGTGCTATAAAAGAATTAATATTAAAAATATTCTGAAACCAACAAACGTAAACAATAGTTGCGTTCACCAGACTCAATCGCTTAGAAGCTGCTTGCAAGCGGCTATAATCGATTCTGGTGAACGATGTGCTGATTATGCGCTATCTCCAAGCGGCTGATAAGCGATCGCCATTTTATTCAGCCTTAAATTTGTTGTGCTTAATCATCGCTGAATGGATGAATAGCTTATTCTAATAGTCGAATTCCGCCAACATATAAATTTATCAAATAAAAAATGGCAAATTTATTTGAAATAGAATATAAATATAATAACACTAAAAAATAATATATAAATAAATATAATATGAAATATCATTCCCAAACAAATTATTTTAGTTAGGTATTGTTATTTATTCTCTGGTTAGGTCACAGAAGAAATATAATATAATATAATATATCGTCCCCAAACAAAAATGCTTCAAGAATATTATCCATTTTAGTTAGGTATTGTTATTTATTGTGTGACTAGGTTAATAAAAACAAAGCAACAAGAACAACTGTCAAACGTCAGTCGTTTACCAAACTTTAATTCTTAGCATTAAGCGCTGTGCAATCGGATTAATCTGTTGAACGCAACCAATCATACATGATCTGACACAACGACATACCAATATGGCCAAAGTGAGGTCGTTTTTAGTCACGTGATGCCCTCTCCATAGATTATAAATCGATGGATTGCCCCTACCAATGAAAACAGGGTCGGTTCATGTTCTTACAGAAATTGCACCTCATGTCCATATGGACTCCGCTTTCCAATTCAGTATTCTGCAAATCGCTCCCCTGCGGCACAGTTTCTTAGGTCGCTAGGAACGTCTAGTTCAATTCAAAAATATAGTTGTGGACCGATTTCTATGAACGCAAGTTATGTTTTATGCGTACGAAAAAGTTTTTATAACAAGTTCATAACCTGCAGTTGATGACAGACCTTTGTAGTCCATTAAATCGTTTAGGTAAAACTGACTTAATACAAAACTGTGATTTTGATCAATATCACTAAGAATTCGTATTGAGTGAAGGAATCTTTATATTATAACTAAAAATGTTAATTATTTAGATATAACCGACTATTTTGTTTTTTGTGAGTTGTTAAAAAGAGACTAATTTTCCATTATTTTAGCATATCAAGAAATCTTGTTTAATAAATTTATCCTATATAATTACTGTAGTTAACTTTTATTTTTCCTAATATATTACTTATTTTAACCTTTCCGGAACCGTGAACTGATCTCTTTTCCATAACTATTTTTCTAATTGTCAAATAAAAAACTAGTTAAAAACTTTAACTTGACACACGACTTAAAACTGCAAAGTTCAAAATCAAAACAAAATAATTATTATCCCTACTTCGCTCCAAATCTACACAGGTTGGTGACACTGAATTCGCGTCCAATAAATGAGAAAAACGAGACATGGTCTATTTCGTCAAAATGGGATATCAAATAAATTGTGCTTTACACACGTCAAATTTTACCTTGAAGCGACTTCATGAATTTATTCTTGGTGTCAAGCAGCTGTTAAATTCAATATATTTACACAAACAATAGTAACTCATATGAAGTATACTCTTATTAAAATTTAAATTCAATATACATGATACTAAGACCAAAGAAGATAAGATATTGCGCATAAGTCGTGACGTCGTTGGAGAGTTTGACGTTCGAAATGTCAGGTTTTTGTATGTAACAATAAATAATCTTTAATAAATAGTTTGGAGATATCCTTATGTGTACGGTTATTGTAATTACTAAACCTCTTAACTTATTTTCGTCTTGTAATTTCATCACAGAATGCATACAAATCCCATTTAACTTTAACTAGAATTCCAATTCTACTCTCCAATGACGGCATGCGCGAACACGACCTATTTTGTGCTACTGGAAGATCCTATCTTGTTATTATAGTATCATGTTCAATATATTTACTCCTCAAAAAACAAATGTATATGTGGCAACATTGAACCTATGCAGAATATTTCATATTGGGCCCAAACGCTCTTGACATTTTTTCAAATGACAATTTTGGCCATTTTACAATATTTTATATTTTTGTATAATTTAACAAGGGAAAAATAATTTGTATTTACAATTGGTTTCTGCATTTTGGTTGAGTTTACCGAAAGTACAAGCTGAATATAGCCGCAAATGTCAAAAATATTTGGGTTTGGCAGTGGTGGGGTGTTTTCATAATGCATATGTTGACTAGCGTCTAGAGCCTGACCTACTCTTATGTGCAGACATGCGCAGTTCAATTGTATCCATTTCTGAATGTGTCAATGAGGTTTATGTGTATTGTTGATTGCAAACATTTTTTTTATAAATTAATAATATAATTACTTCAATCCATCTCTTTAACCCATTTGATAAATTTAATAATGTTTAAATTATAAGAATAACTCTAAAATAAATAGTAAATAATAGCAATAAAAATTAAAGGTTTTTTAAAATGGTTTTAAAAAAAACTTTTTGCGCATTTTTTCCAATAAAAATTTGTTATTTTATATACAGGATGTTGACCGATGTTATGTATCAATTACTATGATACCAACTTTAATATTTTAAATGAAACATTTTTTATATTATAAAATTTTTGGATTCTGCACAAAATTCCCAGAACTTTGATATATTGCGTGTTATAGTTTTAATTAACTTATTTTAGGATACAGGGTGGTTAATGAATAGATCACTCTCTGCATGTTTCCTTATGCCTTTAAAAGGTTCTATACCTAATTTCAATAAAGAAGAGTGAGTTCAGTTTCGTATCTCAACTTGTTTTTAATAATGTGTATAGTATATACTCTAATACGATATGTACCTATATTCGTTTAACCATCGAGTTAGAATCAATGGAGAGGGCATCACGTGACTAAAAACGACCTAACTTCGGCCACATTGGTATTATTGTTTTGAAACTTTTGACAGATCGTATATGTTTGGTTATATTTGTTGTTTTTCACAACAACAAATGCTTTTAAAGCATTCTTTTTATATTTGAAGCATACAGCATCTACATTATAAAAACATGCCAACCAAAATTTTTTGCTCCATGTTTGACATTTGCGGCTATAATCAGCTTGTACTTTCGGTAAACTCGACCCTGCATTTTATATGATTAACGCATATTATTTATCTATGATTAACGCTATTTCGTATTTTTTGAATAACATTTTCCTCTTTCCAATTTCCTATTTTTTATAACATCTTTACACTTTTTAAATGTTTCCGTAATAAAAAACACGCAATTTTAGCCGTTTTTTAATTTTTCAGGCAAGTTAAAAAAATTTGCATTTTTAGTGACCCTTAATAATGTAAACAAATACCAAAAAATGGCATTTTAAACATATCTTTTTTTACTTTAAATATCGAAATCGGTTGGAAATGTGGCCAATGTTTATGCAAAATGCTCAATTTTTGGTCGTGGCAACAAAAAAGAATCCTGGCTGTCATTACTGTAAGGATTCAATTGCAAAAGAACACGGTGAGCTGTGTAAAGAAAAATCCTATTGTTTCTGTAATATATTTATTTTATATACATTTAAAACTTAATAACTTTATTAGGTCGTTTATTACCTAAGCTAAATTGATTATGATTGCCCTCATTATCAAGGCAATCGGGATTGCTGCTACCAATAGTTTCAATATTTAAATTATTCTGCAAATGTTCCTGTTGAGCTTGATATTTGGGGCAATCTTTCTTTAGATGTGTAACATCTCCACACACCTTACACGATCCACCTACAAAAAAAATAATAATAACTAAGCGTTATCTATATATCATCGAAAGAAAGGTTGAACTATACAGATACTAATTAAAATATTAATACAAGAACAGTAAACATATTTTAAAGAAGTCCTCATAAGATAGCAGTCACATTTTAAGAAAAAAATACATATACAAAAAAGGACACGGGATTGGAGATTTTTTTTATATGACATATTAATAATATTATACACACACATATATAGGGAATTAATAAAATATGGAAGCGACAAACTCGTCGCTCTCTTCAAAAAATATTTAAAATAAAACTTTATGGCCAGCAAAGAATTTAAAAAAAGATTGTTGTCAATCGCTTACAATATTTAAAATATTCATCGACTATGTATTGACTAAGGAAGAGAGAGAAAACGATAGAGGAGTAGTAGAGGGAATGGATAAATTATAGCAGAAAGGCAAGGTGGATGAAGGAGCTTATCCCTGATATGAGGTAGTGTAGGGAATGTAAGTTCAGGGAACTAGACTAATTCCTGATGCAGTTTCTGACTGGATATAGTAGTTTTGGCACCTTAACAAATGAGATAAGCGAATCTGTCTCCGCAGACTGTACTGTTTTTGGAGTACCAGAAGCTCCCGCCCACATTTTCAACTACCAGAGCTGGGCAAATGAGAGGGAAGACTTCAAGAGGTGAATAGGTTTCAGGCTGGATGAAATAAATATGGTAATGATGAGACAAGAGAGAGAATGGAAAGAAGTACCGTCGGATTTCTAGGGCAATGAAGAAGGAACAGGAGGACAGAGGAAGAAACTGAACCAGGGATCTGAACTCTTATTTCTTTTTTCTGGAGAGCCAAGAACTGAAAAGTACCAAAGCTATTTTATGACCTCAGAGATATTTTTGTTCTTTTATTTTCTTTTGGTTCAAAATAGTTTGATCTGCCTAATAGGCACTATTTATTTATGGTGGTATACTCTATTTTTTAGTGTTTTATTATTTAAAGGATTTTCATGAAATACCTGTAAAATCCATAAATTATTTGATAAATATAAACTAGTGTATTAATATTTGATTTACCTTTAGGATACAGTCCTCTAGCGTTATCAGGACATTGCCTAGATATGTGTCCTTGTTCATTGCATATAAAACACTGGGCATACTTAAAATCTTGCCCCCTTACAACTTTGCATTCAAAGTGAGTATGTTCCGTTGAGCCACATTTGAAGCATATTCCTGATGCAGATGTTGAAACTTGATCTTTATTCAATTCTGGGCATTCTGACAAATTGTGACCTGATTTTCGACAGTTGAAGCATACCTAGAATAAAATGGAATATTTGATTAATGCAATTCATATTCATACTAATGTAACTTTTATAAAAAAAACCTAACTATGCCTAAAATTAATATTACCCATAAATCTATATAAATAAAAATCAATGTTGCTGTGTTTGTTATTATTAGAAAGTTATTTTACAGAAAGATGTAAAAAAAGTTTTTCTAACATATAAAATAAAGAAAATGATAACTATAAGAAATAACGGGGTCATACAAGCCCAAGAACCCATCTAATATATTACAAGGAGTTACCTGACATTTGTAGGGACTGATTATAACAAAGGACCTGACTAAGTCGGAAATATACTTCATTAAGAACTAGCCAACAAACCAGAACTTTTCCAAACCAACCAGCTTTCTGATTATAGATATGTTCCAGATATTATGCTTGAAAATGAGAACTAAAAGCCATATTGGAATCATACTGTGCTCAAGGACCAACTAGTCACACATATTAGGCCAGGTGTTGTACTAATAAACAATACTTATTGATGTAGAGAGCCTGAACAACAATATTCTATGTATTATACACAAAGAGAAGATCGCTATGTACAGGTATCTGAGAAACTAATAAGTAAACAATGGAAAATGGAAAGTACCCAGATAGCTATTATCTCCTCTACCACTGGCAACATTCTGAAGAACCTTCTGTATAATACATATTACTAGTTTATGAAAAAATATCAAAAAATACTAATTAACCTAGTTAATTTTACCTTTTTCTTTTCTCTAGTAAAAGCCTTTTCAGCTCTTCTCCTTTCTAGTTTCAAAGCTATGTCGATTTCACTTCTTGGTAGTCCTTTACTTATCATTTCCCTTCGAAGCTTTTTCAACCTAACAGCATCCTCCTTTTTGACTGGAAATCCATCTACATAGTCTACTTCAACCTCCTTTCCATTTATAAACATTTTTGTGGGCAAAAGGGGCTTCTTTCGTTGGGGTTCCTTACCATCTTTCCTTTTTGGGAGTTTTTTCTCAAATTTTTTATTGAATTGATTAGGTTTTTCAAAATTTTTAAAATCTTTTTGTTTCTGTGATGAATTAAATTTATTATTATTTTTATTGTCCATACTTTTTTCATTTGAAATTTCTAATTTAACTGATGCTTCGCCATTTTCTACTTTTAATTTCTCTTCTTCTTCTTTTTGCTTTTTTAATTCAGCTTTTAGTCTCTTTTTCTTTTCTACTTGTTTAATTCTTCTTTGTTTTTTCTTTTCAATCTTTTTTAAATCTAGTTCCGTCAAATTTTCCTTAATAATCTTTTTAGGTTGATTAGCACCTTTCTGTTTCGTGGATTGATCTTTCTTTCCCTTTTTGTTTATGATATCTTTACTTTTGTTTTCACCTTGAGTTTTAAGCTTTTTCTTATTTGGCATATTTTCTTCATCAGATTTTCGTTTTTTAGATTGCTGTTCTGATTTCTCGATATTCTCACCTTTAGGATTAACACTTTCTATTTTGATTGGTACCTTTTTCTTTTTCCCTTTCTTTATTTTAGCTGGAGGAGTTGAAACTTCCACTTTGGAACTTTGCTCATCTGGAGGAGCATCACTATCATCATTCTCTTGAGGATTACTGAAAAAAAAGTAGTTAACAATATTTTATATTTCAAAACACGCAGAAATGAATTATTTTAGGAAAAGGTTAAACATCCTATTAATATTACCACCTTAATAAAATCAATTTAAATCTGAGTGTGAACATAGCTGATAGATGAAGATATCTGAAAACAAAATTCACACACAAACACTTGTGTCAAATTCTTACATAAAACACAATCCATAATATATTCTTCACCAATGCGATATGTAGATATTTTTGTACATCACAGACATGGGAATTATCAAATTAGTGGAGAAAAAGCATCAAAGAAACCCAACAATTTATACCACTTAAGATTTCTTACTGATGTGTTTGAACTTTACAATTATGACTGCTCAAATGATGCCTTTTGTCATCTATACTTTGAAATTAACCTACCAACTTACTGACCATCAAGTTAACAGCACTAACACAAAAATCTTATAAGATAGCAAAAGAACTAGGTGGTAGATATACACTGCTGCAATAAATTGTTAAAAACTGTGTTTGCAAATAACAAATACCTGGTCTAAATGATCCAATATTGTTTGGACTACACTGGCAATAACATAGCCAGGAATAATGAACTAAGAGCCCTGCCGTAAATATTTCTTAAGCACTCTTATTGAGTAGTATATAGAACTTAGTTCTTTACATACATGCATCCAGATGCAATGTAATGTAGACACCCAGAAATTTGACAGTTTATTAGGTCACTGTTTTTTGATAAAAGATTTAACATGTTTATGATTTGATCTTTGGATTATATGGTTCTGAATCAGAAACAACAGTCTTATTAGAGTTTAGCATTCTTTTATTTCTAGAAATCCATCTCTCTATAATTTTCAGATTTTCATCTGCCCTTACATCTTCAAGTGTCTTGGTCAAAAACTAGACAACTTGCGTAATCAGCAAAGTTAATAAGACTGAGTGACAAAAAATGTCAATAAAACATATATTAAAAGGCTATCACTAGTCAGAAAATTCAAAATTTTGGGACAATGCTTTTTAATGCATTCATTTTTTTTCGAATGCTGAAAAAACTAATTTTTGAATAATTTAATTGCAGAGTGAAAGATTACATTATTACCGAGGGCCGAAAGTCCATTAGAATAAACAAAGTTTCTTTTGAACGAGATATTTGAAATTAAAATTTCCACTTAATTTTCTATGTTTCACCCCTGTAACTTACTAAAATAAACATAAAAGTTTTCAGGGACTTAAGGCCCTCGGTAATAATGTAATCTTTCATTCCACGTTTATATTTTTCAAAAATACTTATTACTTTTCTCAGGATTCGAAAAAAAATGAATAGGTACTTTTAGAAAGCATTGGCCTGAAATTTTGCACCTACGCTATTAAATGTTGATTGATATTTGATACATTACTTACTTAACTTTTGATTTTGGCTCACTTAATATTTTATCAAGTTTTTCTTTCAAAGCTACAAATGTTTCATCATTATCTGATAACTCATCATCTATATTGACCATAGTTTCATCAAATGATGTGTCATATTGCTTAGAGACTGATTTATTTTTTTTCTTTTTACCAGATTGACTCTGATCGACGTTTTGAATTACACAATTATCAGTCTTTGAAAATGAATTTTTCTTCGTTCTAGCAAATGTTGATGGGGTTTCATCTGGAAATTCTGCCCACTCTACATGTTTACTTTCCTCCTCTTCCTTTTCTTCTAAAAAGGCTCTATAATTCGCATTGCGCTTATCAATAGCCTCTTGTCTGTTTTTCTTTTCAGAAATTTCTTTATCTTTATCTAATAATTGCTGTTTCATTTGGTTCCAGGGTGTAGCTTCTTCTGGAACCCTTTCATTTGATGCTTTTGAGCCTTTTGCTCTTGCAAATCGAGTCATATTAAATTAGGAAAATAGATCTACAATTACTTAAACACTGTTATACGGACTTGTATTTGCTTGTACCTTATACACATGTAAAATGTTAGGTTATGTACAGTTGTCAGTGTCAGTAGTCAGCACAGAACAATCATCACGAGCACGACCACTCTCACGGCCATCGAGCAATAAGACAAAAGAGGGAATGTAAAGGTAGAAGGGGTAAACATATTGATAGACAGGAAGTGCCATCTTGAGAGGCCACTTTAGACAAGGATAGACTGTCTCTTTCCTTGTTTAAGAAGTCAAATTTAGTTTGGTTATGTTATTGTTTGTCCCAACTGTCACATGAAATTTTATTTATATTGAAGTTTTTTACCAATTGTGTCACTTTTTAGACTATTATCGTTAATATTTAATTAAAACTTTCTTGTCTGAAAAATATTTTACAGGTATTGTTAACAAGTGTTGGAAAATTTAAATTTAGCGCCTTTGCATTTCCGGATATACCCGCCATCAGAGGCCACTTTTTTGGTCTCCTTTTCATAACGATTAGATTCCCTCTTTTGTCTTATTGCTCGATGCTCACGGCTCAACAAATTAAAATGGACAGTTTTAACTAACAGCCCGTTTAGACGGCATGCACGATATGATAATTTAAACTACCTCTACTTGAAAATAAATTAAAAAATTTCATAGCTATGTATACGTTTTTGGTTTTGTCTGAATTTGTTTATTGATTCTCAAGTATTATTATATTACGAGATAAACTGGTTTAAATTATCGTATCGTGCCTGCAGTCAAATAGCCACTCTCATTATACTGTCAAACACAGATTAAACGTAGGTTGGTAACACAGCACACTTCCACCTGGCAGTGGCAGTCCCATGTTAATTAGTCAAACGATAATTGGCGCATTGTCTAGTGCCAGGGTGCGTAACTATATATACAGTTGGTAGTACAGTAAGTAACGTCACATGTCACCAACACAAAATATTTAAGTCTTAGGTCTGTTCTTTCTTAGAACATTTAGCCAATTACACTGGAATTACAGCCAAGAGATATTTTATTATATACGCGTAGAAATAATATTTAAAGATTTCTATTACTACAAATTTAAAAGAAATACACCATATTCTGTGATCAATCCAAACGGAGGTGACATTTTATTTTATGTTATGTCAATGCAAGGAAGAACTTGTTTGATGTTTGACCACCGAACAACGTTTGACTTTATTGACATAAAGTGACAACGAACAAAGCTTAGAAATGAAATTCCCTACCGCCTAACGGAAGGGTGTCAAATAAAAACGTGCGTTGACCTTGACTATCCTTGTTACTAATCACAGATAAATTAAACCAATGTTCAATAAACATAAATAATGTAAAGTAATTGGAAAATAGATACGTGTTATTATATTATTTCAATAAAATTATACAACAATAATTATACTCCAGGAATATAAATTTTAAAAGTTTTTCAAAGCAAGTCAAAGCGAACTTCAAATTACACATCAGTTATGTTGGTATTAGATATTAGTAGACGAATGCTGGCGAAGTGGGGCGAGCGTGTGAAAGGATGCTCGCTTTGTCTTGTGCTACCTCGTCCCGCTCCTGCGGTTAAACGATACACTTTATTATGATTATTTTTTAATTTATGACTAAAAAGAGTTTAAGCATTCCATAGTTAGATTTTAAGTTAGTAAGTTACGGTTTGCTATGTGTATTTTATTTATTTGGATAAATGATGTCTGACTGGACGAATGACTTTACATACAAGTTTTTAGAGGCTTATCAAAATGAACCTATTTTGTGGAATCCATTACACGCATCTCATAAAGATAAGAAAAAAGTTAATGATAGTTGGACACGCTTGGGCAAGAAACTTGCTATTCCTGTAGCCATTTTAAAAAAGAAAAAGGATTCCTTGAGAGCAACTTTTAGACAGCAGTTCCGAAAAAAGAGAGACTCGATAAAATTAGGTAGTACCGATGTATATAAACCTGTATGGTTTGCATATGAACTTATGGAGTCTTTTCTGGGAAATATCTATGAATGTGACACTACCGTCAAGACTGAATATTTGGAGGTATATTGAGTTATAGAAATTTATTAATTTTGTTTTACTTTATATGGAAAGAACAGTTTTTATGATTTAGGTAATAGTATACATAACAATAAGAGGTGAAGATAAATTTAAAAAATACAGTACTTAAATATTTTTATCATTAATCAAAGATATAGGTTAAATTTGACACTTATGTACACATCACTTTTTCAGTTGTTTTTAGTAGAAATTGCACAGATCATTTATGTCGTAGGTAAAAGTAATTTAGATGAACAGTCTCTACTTGGCTGTGTAAATATTTGAAACCATAAGGCAATAATAAAAAAAATGGGACATAATTTGAATAAATTTTATGGTACCATATTCAATTTCTCAAAATTTCAAAGTATCTACTTCAGAATCACTAATTCTTTCGTTATATTACATGCATTACTGTATGTTTTACATATATTGCACATAAGTATATAATAGGGGAATTTTCTAGATCCCTTTTTCACTTCAAACCATTCTACCAGTAATACTTGATTGTTAGATAAGTTTAATATTTCTAAACATTAACAACTTTCCCTATGATCTTTCATGTTTTAATCTACCAATATCAAACACTAAGTTACACCTTATCTATAAAAAATATTACCAACAAAAGAGTGTAGGTCATTCTTTGTTTGTTGATATTTTTTCTGTAACGTTTTTGATGATTCAAACCATAATTTCCTATATAAATAATCTCCCATATGAACTACAATTATATTGTTTGTACTAACACTTCCTAGAGTTACATATAGGTCCTATTGTTTATTTACAAAGTAGAAATTCCTTTTTATTGTTATATAAAATGAATTTCCATCAAGTAACAGTCAAATCCATCACTTATAATATAAAATGTTTGTAATATTGTAGCAAGGGTTTTCTCTTTGATTATTAGATTTGATTTTCTGTTCAGAATAATTTTTAGCTCTTCAGTAATGTGCCGTACTGTGCAAAAGCAACAATTTTGTTAGGTAGGGTAAGGTGGGGTTATTGGATCATGATTTTACAACAAATCTGCGTTTCGCTCAGATTTTTAGTTACCTTATGATCAAAGTATAAGTAAATTTTAAACTATTTGTATAAAAATATTACCTTTATTTAATACTAAATGTATGGAACCTTATTTTGATTAAAAGTATTACCGTAATAATAAAATAAATAATAAAATTGTATGTAGGGTGGGTGTAGTTACCTCAATTAACAGGGGTAACTGGAGCAGCCAGCGTAAAATCTCATAAGAGCTGGTAGAAATCATTGTGGGCTATCTGGGTCTGATTGCACATCTTTACACTTTTCAAAGAAGCCTCAAACATTAATTTAAATTGAGCGGATCTCATATAGCATATCAGGTTTATGAACAAATTTTACTCAGTTTGCAATTAACGACTTGTATTTAATGCCATTACATTAAAGAGTTTATAAACTTACATTTAAAGAGTTTATTAAAACTAAACAAATCAAAACTAATATCTTAATATATTCCTAAACAAAATTCTTCATGAAACAGAAACTGCAAATTGAATTGAAAAATAAGATTAGTAAAGAAGCGTTTATAATCTCATATAATGTCACACAAATTCTGCAATTCTTTCACATGAAAAAACCCTCTTTAGAAATAATATCTTCAACTGCACCAATAATGTCATCCTAATTATATTTTCCAATATCTGCTTTATCTGGCCACTTCCAAGATTTCTGCATTGATGAAATTTCAACCTGGTTATCTGTAAAGCTTAGATTTTTCTTGGAAAATAGACTTCTTCATAAATATTACATATTCACCAACTTTTTTGACAATTTGGTTAAGGCCTAGTGGCTGAAAATTTCCACAGGTCTGCTCATCAATATTATTAAAGAACATTTCAACTTTCTTCTTGCTATCTAAATATCTTTCATTTTCTTCTACAATATCTTGCAAATCAGCATCATCACAACTTTCTGATATACAATTAAAACTGTTCTTTTTCTTGTGTTTTAAAAAGCTTAGTGTAATGCTACTTCGTTTAGCTTTCGGTATAGCCTTTCTTTTCATGTTTTTTTTTCAATTTCTTTCATTTTTTCTTTCTCTTGTTCTTTTTTTATTAGGTAATTTTTGGCAGGTGATAATATCACAGTTAGTGACCCATCTTTTTTTTTCTTCCCTGAATTCTGTGGTCATTTATCTTTTTTCATCATTTCTAACAACAATTCCTTAAATGATTTACGTGTTTGTTAAGAAGGTCCAATTGGCGAGATAGGGCTTTCTTTTTCTACTTGAACTTCATTTGCAGAACTAGCTTCTGTTCTTTCATCCATTGCAAAGGTAGAGACAGAAATTTCTGGCTGTTCATTAGGATTAAAGCATTCAAGACATCTGATTGTACCATATCCGAAGAAGTATGGGATGCTTGTTGCCCTACATTTGAATAATTGTAGTCTTCTTGATTTCCAGTCGCTATAACAGAACTCGCATCTAGTTGTACTGTACTGTAGTGGGATTGGGAAGATTATTTTTATACCTAAGCTAATTATCTTTTTTGAATATTGATGTAGAAATTGCATCTTTGTTAGGACCTTATTTATCGGCATCATAAATTCCTGTGGCTTAAAATCCGTTAATAATATTAATACTATATATTTCATGTGCTACCTTGGTTATCATTTGTACAAATATTTCTTTAGGAATTTTTTCGCGAGGATTTTCCCTCTGACACCTTTGCCTTATTCCAATGAATTTTTATTTTCGGAAATTTATAGGGTGGCCACTTTTTTGCCGCTTATTGTTATACCATGCAAAAACAACTTATAACCTCAATTTTTACACAGCTGACAGGCAGTTGTCCATAGAGATTGGACTACCGCCTTTTTTAAGAATCAGTGCGTCATGCAAAAAAGACTGTACCACAAAGAGATTTTTACAACAAATATCATAGTGTTTCAACTGTTTTCAGATCTTATATCTTTAGATATTGTAGTTTTTTTTATGAAAATATTGATTTATAAACAAATAATAGAAATAGTAACAGAAAAAATATTATCAGAGTTTTTACTTTTTAGATGGGAAAACATGATGCCA